CATTTGGAGCCTATCACAAGGATTTAGCTGCCGAAATCGCTGCCCACGTCCATTCTGGGTCTATCCCTCTCCCAGGTGTTACGATTGGTCCTGATATCAAGACTCCTTTTAGGTCACTGTCATGGCCCTATGCTGATCACTATGAGCTCACAACGTGAGCCTCACGTAGGCACTCCAAACAGAGTTGAATCTGCATTTACAACCATTTGCAGATCAAAAAGGCCAGGCTATAAAACAGGACATTCACATCTAAAAGATTTATGAGCCAGTCAGGATGTGTCCACCTGAAGGCGAGAAAAAAAACATCTACATCCAATCTCCCCTCTTCTGGAAATTGTCCACTTCAAAGCATAGCAATCGGAATCCTTTGATATACAATAGCAATTCTTTGCCTCAGCTAGTCTTAAGGGTATAAATACTCCCCAAAATCTCAGGAAAGTGGAGGTCTAGATAGATTTCATGACAGTCCTGTGCCATTGTGATCTCTAGAGTCTCCAGCTTTATTCGCTGTCCTTTCCCTGTCATAATGGTTGAGTCTATCTCTTCATTCATCATTGGAGCAGCCTCCTTTCAGGTAATTATCACCATTAGAAAGCCTTGTGTTTCCTATCCAAGCTAACTACTTTACTCCTGAGATCTTGTGTGTGTGCATGTATGCTAGGGTGTTTTTGTATGTTTGATCCTTTGTATATGTGTGTGCTTGCTTATTGATTTATTTTTCTTTCTTAATAAAAGTACCATTCTTTTGGACAAATGCTGTCTCTGCAGGAACTGTTCCCTCTAGCCCCCTGCATACAATGGTTTGGGTTCTATTTACTATTTTTTAGGTAATTGTAAATTCCCCAGGGTCAAGTTCTTATTACACAGGCATGCTCAGCATGGCTTTTTTCTATGCCAGGAGTTTTCTGGCTTGAGAAAATGGCTGCCAGAGCAGTCCTGAGGCGAGGATGGACCCGGGATGGACCTGGGTGGTGATTTCTGTGGCTAAATCCTTGTGATAGGCTCCAGATGCAGCCTGATTTAAAATTTAAACTGGATCAGGTAAGGTGATTTAATTAACTGTGCAATAAGCTCCCTATTCAGAGGGAGGCAATCTATCTGCGTGAACAGAGTAACATAACTTCACTTGGAAAAAAAAAGAGAACTACTAGTTAGTTTCTTTCTTTGTGGCAGGGGAATCTTAATTTTACAGTAGTTGTCACCTCCCCTCAATATAGTGCTTTTGCAAATAAACCCAATGTTAGGATCCCTTCCTCTTTCAGGGTCATTTGCTTATCTGCTTTTACAGTGTGATGCACATTCCTATTTGCATCTCAGAATAGATGGGATTGGGCATCCCAACCAATATGATGCCAAAATTGAATGAGGATGACTCATCTCCAGATTCTAGGGTTGCCATATTCCAGTCCCACATATCCAGGTATCTAATGTGCATATTGTGCAAATTATTGTAATTATGCATATATTAATTTTCATTCTGATTATCCAGATTCAACGTATTAATCATTGCACTTTTTCTATCATCATATTTCAACCTCAGTACCAGTACCAAGCTAAGAGATCTTTTTCCCTTCTTTTCCCACCTAGCTGGTGTGCAAAGAGGGAGGCTTCCAAGCAGCATGTCTTGAGGCTGTTTGGAAGCAAAGTTCCATCCTGCTGCCTACCTCTAGGCTGAAGCTGCAAACATGATCACCGCACAACACAAGGGCATCTTTGCTTGCCTTCTTTCATTTCCCACCTTCTGGGATTGTGCAGTAGAACCATAGCCTGCAGGACAGGATGAGGCTCTTGCCAGTGCCAGTCTTATTGCACCATGTCCTGCTTCATCACCACTGCCACATTTTAACCTACCTGCCAGCCTGTGACAATGGAAAAATCTGGGATTTACTGCTACAACTGGCACAGACAGCCGGGACATTTTACAGTCCCTTCCATCTAGGATTTTCCTGGTTTTCTGGGAGAAATGGCAACCTTACCAGATGCTCATCACAATACAGATGAGAATCTGCACTTGTTTCCCAATTTGGTGAGGGGATCTATATGTAGATCCCCCTTGTTAAGTTAGAGAAATCAGGTAAAAGGCTATGTACAATTGTCATACCATTCACTTTGGAGTAAGGCTTATAGGAAATCAGTAAATATGAATACATGTCTATTGTTCTTTTTTTCAGGAAATTGAGCATAACACTGGAATATATGCAAGTGGAGGTCTGGATAGACAAATGAGGCACATTGATTGCCTTACCATTGTCTTCAAATACAGCATGTTACTTCTCATTGCTTGCAGATGTTTCAGTACAAGTGTTTAGGCCTGAATTGCCAGTTCATTCATTCATATAGATCAAAATGTTCTCATAGTTGTATATAGATGATGTTCTGTTTACAGCCCAAGTGTAAAAACCTATAATTTGAGCCTCACAAAATCAGCTCTCATCTCAGTGCTCAAAGTCCCTGACTAATGAGGGCTATTCTGTACCAAATGTCAATATTCTCCAGCAATCTCAATGCACTTGGCTTGACTTTTATCTTGTTTACAAAAATGTTTTTGACTGTGGGTGGTGGTTTTTGTGAAAGCTCTTTGTTTCTTCACAAAGCTCATTGGTTTAGAATGACTTTCAAAATGAAGAAACATTCAGACTATTTTCAAACAGATGGAAGAAAAGCAAACCGAAAGAATTGATAAATTTTACAATGTTTTAAGCAAACAAGAACATGTTCTAGCAACATGTTTGCGATAGGACTAGGAACTACAGGCAATGTGCCTTGGTTTTAATTGTATTCAATAGTACACTTGCTTACTAGGATTAAACAGTAAAACTGATAGTCATGTGTATAGTTAGCAGTGAGATGATTCAGGACTCATTTTCCAGAGGGGAAACCATGTTAACTGCAGCATAAACAACATGCAATCTTGCAGCAGTTTGAAGATGTAGAGAGCCCTTTCACACTGCACAATTTGATTCTAACATTTTGATTCTACTTTAACTACCTTGGCTACATCCTATGGAATCCTGGGATTTGTATTTTGGGAAGAACACTAAAGCTCTGTCCGAGAATTCTAAATATCTTCCACAATAATAAATCCTTGGATACATGGGACAGTGCCATGTTAAAATATGTGGATGACACTATACTATTAGCAGAAAGCATCACAGACTTGGAATGATTATTAAGATCAGAGAAGAAAGTGCAAAGACAGGCTTAATGGTGCACATAAAGAAGACAAAAATAATTACCATGGAGGGCCAGCACACATTCAACCTAGATGTCCCCCAGCCGTTCCTGGCAGCTGATTTTTGAAGGACAATTTTGAACCATCCTTCAAAAATCGGCTGCCAGGAACGGCGGGGGGATGGCTTGGAGACTCCTGGTGGCATTGGTGGCATTCTCCTGACCAGTAACATGCGCTTTTGCCCCTTTCCATTCTGTTTCTTTCTGTTATTGTAAGTGCCATGCTCAAACCATTAGACTGGACTGACTGGAGATTATCAGATGGGGGACAATCGAGGAAGAAAAAGGAATAGTGCCAGGATAACTGCGTGATCGGACTGAACATTTTCAGATGATGTCACACGCATCCAGGACTTATCCCAGAAAGAACCAGGAATGCTCCAGCAACAAACCATTCCTGGAACTTCCCTGTGAAAGGTTTGTTGATGGATATTTCCTGGATCTTCACAGGAGAAGTCCTGGATAAGTGTGATGTATCTGAAAATCTTCAGCGCGATTGCACAACTTTGACGGGAGTATGCCTTTTACTCCTGGCTTTTTTTACAGGTCTGAAAATCTCCTGTTTCCTTGTAGAAACATCTATATATGTTATGTGTGTATTAACATATAAATGTATCACCATGCTGTAAGCAGAAGATGGTGCTGCTGAGCTACTTATTTCTTATAAAACTTTCAATGTGGTTGATTTTGTATTTTGTGAGTGGCAATGTGCAATTCTAAAATTATCACTTATTAATGAAAAGTGTTCT